CACACACACACACACACACACACACACACACACACACACACACACACACACACACACACATACACACCGAAACAGCAACAGAGAAACACACGAAGCATAGCGCGGTTTAGGGTTTAGGGTTTAGGGTTTAGGGTTTGGGGTTGGGTTTTAGAATTCCGGATATACATCGACCATAAAACCAACGAGCGCAGTGGCAATACCTAAAACCCTAAACCCTAAACCCTAAACCCTAAACACCAAAGCTAGAAGCATCAATAGAAGCACAACAATAGCTACAGCAATACCAACACGAATAAAGCCAACCATAACAAAAGCAAGCGAATAGAAAAAACAAAAACAATACGAATAAAAGGACAAAAATAAAAACAAAAAAGGCGGATACAAACAAAAGCTTTTCATTATCTTTTTTTCTGTTGTCCCGCTGTTCATCTCCCCGTTGCACTAAACTGGGCATGGAGCTGCACGCACGCATGCATGCATGCATGCATGCATGCATGCATGCATGCATGCATGCATGCATTTATCCATGCATATGAAAGCATGTATGCAGAGATACGCAGCAGTGCAGCTATCTATGCACGCACACATACAGACCCATGCATGCGTAACAAATGTATTTACTCATCCCCTCTAAGCAGGCTTAGGCTGCTATCTATACACCCGCATGCATGCATTTGTTTATAGTATTAATGCATGCATCCGTACAATCCAGATGCATACATTACACGTATGTATGCACGCATGCATGCATGCATGTATGTGTACTGTATATATATATATATATATATATATATATATATATATATATATATATATATATATATATATATATATATATTAGTGTGCATATTTTTTACCAGCTAAGTCCGCATGCTTCATGAATTCTTCTGCTTCATCAGGCTTAAGAAAGCGTTCCAGTATTTCTCTGCTTAGATAAGGATCTTCTGTCTGGGGTGTATCGACACCTCCCCCACTGCCGCCCCCAGAGCTTTTCCCTTTACCTGAACATTTCTTTTCTTCTTTGTTGTTTGCATTTCCCCCCGCACTGGGATCGGGATCGATGTCGGGGTCGGGATCGATCAGCTCCCCTTCTTGCGGGGGAGCAGAAGAGAAGGGGGCTGCCGTCTCCTCTGAGCTGCTGCCGCCCCACATACACCCGGGCGAAGCGCTCTCAGACTGAGGGTGGCTCAGCTGCTGTTGCTGCTGCTGCTGCTGCTTTCGCTGCTGCTGCTGCCGCTGCTGCTGCGTTAATACAGAACCCTTGGTGAGGGGACTGTTGCTGCTGGTGTCTTCTGCTTCGGAGTTTGTCGTGTTCTCTTGTTTCGTCTCATCTCTCTCTCTTTTGTTTGTTTCTGTCTCTGTCTCTCTGCTTATCTCTGGCTCGCCTCGTTTGCTGGGGCTCTCAGTAGGAGTATCCTTGCCGTGCTGTTCGTCTCTGTTGCTCGTTTGTTTTGCTTCTCTCTGCTGCACTCTTGCTGCTGCAGCACGTCTTAGCAGCGGCAAATGCCGTCTAGCTGGCAGCCCTCTGCCTTGCTGCTTGCTTCTGCTGCTTCTGCTGCTGCTGCTGCTGCTGCTGTTGCTGTTGCTCCGCTGGTTGTTGCTGCTGCTGCTGCATGGGTCGTCGCAGCAGGACGGAGAAGAATTTCTGTCTTTTTCCTGCTCTGGCTGCTCGTCTTGCTGTGTTTGCTGCAGTGGCTGCAGCGGCTGCTGCTGCTTCTGTTGCTTATGTTGCTGCTGCAGTTGCTGCTGCTGCTCCAGAGACTGGGTCTCTTGCAGCCTCTCTGTGCGTCCCTGCAGCATCCCATCTGAATTCTTGTTGAGTTTGTTCGAGTGTTCAAGTGCTTCAGAGAAATCTTCTTTCTGCTGCTCTTCTGCTTCATCTTTTTCTTTTCTTTTTTCTGTACAGTTGCTGCTGCTCAACCCTTTCTGGTCTTTGTCATCCCCATCCATTGCCTTCTGTTTCTCTGATTCTGCACCTCGATCCCCTTTGAGGCTATCTATGGGGCCCCCATCGGGGCCCCCTTTCGGGCTCCCTGTGGGTGCCTGGTTGGGGCCCCCTGAGGGGCCCCCTTTGCAGGTGTCTGAGGGGGCCCCCCGAGGGTCCCCCGCATGGACAATGGCAGCAAAGAGGAGAGCTGCAGCGTTTGCCGCGAGATCTTTGTTGTTTAGTTCGATGCGTCTGCCCGGCAAGAATATCATCGGGGGAGAATATAAACAAAAATGAACGTTCAACCAATTTCGTACTTGAGAGGTTTTGCTGCTTTCAATGTTCTTCGGGCGCAGCGGCTCCGGCAGCACTACGCACAAACAAACAAAAAAAACAAACAAATAAATAAATAAATAAATAAATANAAATAAATAAATAAATAAATAAATATAACAAACACACAAAACTAGATGCATAGGAAACGCGCTCCGTTCCCCCGCGCGTATTGCTGCGATTAAGACGCTCGCCCCTACAACTGTTCAGCAGCAGCAGCAGCAACAGTACTACAGCAGCAGCAGCAGCAACAGTACTACAGCAGCAGCAGCAGCAACAGTACTACAGCAGCAGCAGCAGGGGCATCAGCAGGAGCATCAGCAGGATTAGCAGCAGCAGCAACGGAAGCGCCAGTCTTCGGAGCTGACCCGCAGCATCCACAGCAGCAGTTCAGCAGCAAGCATGTGTGAGTGTTGCTTGGTCTGTGGTGTATGTACAGCTGGCGTACCGGTCCCCTGCAGCATTCTTTCTTGCAGTCTTTCCGCTTTATTTGCAAAGGCATTAACAGCAAAAGGAAACAGCAACGGGTTGCCTCTGTTCTGTGTCTCTTCTCCCCCCCACGTTGAGGAGCCCCCCTTCTCGAACCCAAACCCCCGCAGCAGCAGCCGACGCTGCCCCGTAGCAGCAGCAAACATCTTCAGACCCCCAACAAACGCCTTCAAAAGAAAACCCAAACTAAACAGCACAAGCCAATACACACACACACACACACACACACACACACACACCACAAACCCTAAACCCTAAGTCTCTATGCATCTACGGCAGCAGCCCGCTGCTGCTTCTGATGCTGGTGCAGTGGTTGATGCTGTGCTGATTTGCGTGGTTCTGTTTCTGGTGATGCATATGCTGGTGTGTTGCAGCTGCTGCTACGGCTGTTGCTGCTAATGCTCCGCTTGCTCCTGTTTTGTTCTGGTGCTGCAGAAAACTGGTTGGGTTTTAAGGGGGAGATGTCTGTGGGGTGTTGTTGCTGCCCCTGTTTATTTGCTTTCTCTTCTTCGGCTTGACTGTGAAGTTTATATTTTTGTTGGTTTCGCTTGCTTTTGCTCTCTTTTCGTGTTGTGTTTGTTTGTATTTGTTTCTATCTTCGATTTGCCTTATGCGTTGCTGCTCATGCTTGCAGAGATCTTTGTTGAATAACTTTTTCCTTACTTTTCTTTTATCCCCCGGCACCAACTACGAGGGCAGCAGCGCCTGTCTTGCTGCTCCTGCTGCAGCAGCTGCTGCTGCAGCTGCAGCTCCCCGGGAGAGAGACAAGCTGTTGCTTCCGGCTCAAAAGAGTCCACTGACACGGCACAGCTTTCTGTTAGCTGCTGCTGCTGCTGCTGCCCTTGCTGCGGCTGCTGCTTCTGCTGCTGCTGCTGCTGCTGCTGCTGCTTGTGCTGCTGCTTTAGCGCTTTGGTGCTGCTGTCGGTGGAAGGGATGCTTGTGTACATGGGGCCGTTATCTGTCTCTTTTGTTTGTCTGGTGGAGCTGCAACAGAAAACAGCATAAAAGAAAGAAAACCTAAAAGTAAAAAGCAAACAAATGCTGATGTAAACAAACAAGTGGCAAACAAAAACAAGAAAAGCACCGAAACCAGAATCCTAGGGAGGAAACAACGAGAAACCAAATGCAAAACAACCAAAGTTAAACAAACAAGCAGAGTTAAAAAAAACAAACAAACAAAGAAACAAACAAAAAAGAAGAATTAAACAAACAAACGCAGCCAAAAGGATAAAGAAACAAACAAACAAAAAACAAAAAAAAAAAGAAAACTTAGACAAACAAACGCCGTCAAAAGAAAAAAGAAAGCTAAAGAAAACGCACAGTGCAGCGATCCACTTTGCGTTCAGCTTGCGAACAGCAGAAGAGCGGCGGAGGTAGTGAACAACCTGGGCGTTCATACTCATAAGAAACCCCAACTCAAAGCAGAAAACCATCACCGCCAGCAGCAGTCGACGTACAGCTAGCACCATCAGCACCATGTTTGTTACTTGAATAACACGAAATAAACTCCGCGTAAACAACAAAGAAGAACCAAACAAACCAAAATACATCAACGGCTCAGGAGCCTCCTCTGTTGTCTTCAAATATATCATATAGTGGCCTGTACACACAACACACGCAAACGCAATGCGAGGGCTGCAACGGCAGCAGCAACAGCAACAGCAGCAACAGCAACAGCAGCAACAGCAGCAGCAGCAGCAGCAGCAGCAGCACGGGAAGAGCAGTGGCACAGCCGGCAGCAAAAGCTGCTGCAGCAGTCAAAATCAACTGCATATGCAGCGCGTCCTCCGCAGGCAACACACAAGCTAGATCAACAACTTTCATCAGCAGCAGCAGCAGCAGCAGCAGCAACTGCAATAGCAGCAGCAACTGCATCAGCAGCATCAAAAGGTGCAGCAGCAGCAGCAGCAAAAGCTGCGGCAGCAGCAGGAACTGCAGCCTTCAATCCCTTCTTCGTATTCACTGCGTGCACTGTATGCATGCAGCATTTGGCCTGACTCTCTTTTGCGTTTCCCAGCCACCAAACATAAACAAAAATGCTCCAGGGTACATAAAATATCTCGGGGTCAACAGTAGCAGCAAAGGCAGTTGCAGCCGGCAAGCCGTGCTGCACCGCCTGCAGCAAACCCAGGATCACCACCACTCTGCAGCACAAACACCAACGCACAACCCGAACCCTAAACCCTAAACCCTACACACTAGGGTTTAGAGGGCCCAACTGCCTGCTTTACGTTCACAGGGGTTTAGGGTTTAGGGTTTAGGGTTTAGGAGTTAGGGGCTAGGGTGTGGGGGAAACCTGGCGAGCATGAAGCAGAGGAAGAAGCAAACGTTCAGCAGCACAACACGAAAGAAGGCAGCAGCGCCGTTTAGCAGCAGCGAGTTGCTGTTGATGTCTCCGACCTTAGGGTGTACAGACAGACAGAAAGAAACAGAGGAGATACCTTTCTGCATTTGTCTCTTCTCTGCATTCAATTGTTTTATGTGTTCATCTCTTTATTCTCTGTGTCTTAGACTTTAGGGCTGAACATGCGGCGCTCTGTATTTGGTTGCTGGGTGCTTGTTCCGCTGCTGCTGCTGCTGCTGCTGCTGCGGCTTCTGCTGCTGTTATAGTGCTGCTAACATATTTGCTGCAGGTGCCGTTGCCAGCAGTGCTCNTGCTGCGGCTTCTGCTGCTGTTATAGTGCTGCTAACATATTTGCTGCAGGTGCCGTTGCCAGCAGTGCTCCCGTTCGTGTTTTTTTCTGTTGCTACAGCTGTACGCAGCACGCGCTATAACTACTGCTTCTTTTCTTGCATCTGCGACGAGTCCAGCTGCAGCATTTGCTGCAGCAATTGAAGGAGCAGCAGCAGCACCATTGGTCGCAGCAGCAGCAGCAATACTAGCAGCAGAGTGTAGCAGCATTGGGGGCAGCAGCATTAGCAGCAAGATATGCAGCAGCATGAAGAGGGGGGAGCAGCAGCAGCAATGCTTACAACTTCAAGGGGGGGTTTTGCTTCTCTGCTTGTAGGGACCCAAGCTGGTGGTGCCCTGGCTAAGAAGAATTCTGACTTTGCTGTGGATACTCTTTCTAGCCCCATGAGGAGCAGCAGAAAGCAAATGAAGAGTTGAAGAAAAAACCATACAAACGGTGGAGTGTTAGGAAAGAATGCATGCAGCCAGCTACGCAGCAGGGGAGACAAGCAGCAGCATGGGGGCTGTTCATCTTCTTGCTCTGAGTCGGCGTCCTCTTTCTCTTCTTCTGCTTCTTTGTGTGTGCCGAGGCCTAAAGACCCCAAAGGCAACGCAGCAGCTCCCCCACCTTCTCCCGGTATGCTGCAGCAGCCTGCAGCAATGGACCCACCACCGCCACCTGCTGCTGCAGCTGCTGCTGCTGCTGCTGCTGCTGCTGCCACTGCTGGAGGAGCACCGTCGTCGCCAATGTAAGGCCTCTCAGCAATAACAGAACTCTCCTGAGCCAATCGCAGAAATACATGCATCGGCACACCACGAAAGAAACCTATAAATTCAGAGAAAAAAAAAAAGAGACAAAAGGGAAGACACAAGGAGACAAAAGGAAACAAAAGGAGACAAACTAAACTGAANAAAAAAAAAAGAGACAAAAGGGAAGACACAAGGAGACAAAAGGAAACAAAAGGAGACAAACTAAACTGAATGAGATAAAAGGAGACAAAATAATACAAAAAAATACAAAAGAAAGACACACCGTATGCGACGATAGGAAAGGAGTAAAGCTGTTCAGCTGTGGCGAATCCTTAAAATAAGGATGCAGCATGCGGCCTGATGGGGCTGCTGCTGCAGGTCCCTCTGCTGCTGCTGCTGCTGCTGCCTGAGTTGCTGTCGTTGCTTCTGCTGCTGTTGGTGCCCCTCCTGCTGCTGCTGCTGCTGCTCCTGCTGCTGCCGGCTCCCCGAAGCCTAAAGACCCACCATAGCAACCCGGCAGATCGCAGGCGCCGCGCAAGTGGCTTGAAGGAGGCAAGAGGTGAGGTTGTGGAGCTCCATGAGCTGCTGCTGCTGCTAACGCTGCTGTCGTCGTTGCTGCTGCTGCTGTTGTCCCTGCACCAGGCACTGGCAGGAGCAACTGTTGTTGGTGCTGCCGCTGCTGCCGCTGTTGCAAAACCTGCTGCTGGAGGAGCTGCTGCTGCGTTTGCTGAAGCTGTTGGAGCTGCTGCAGGTGCGCTTGCTGCAACTGCTGCTGCTGCAGGGGTTGCTGCTGCTGCTGCTGCTGCTGCATGGGTTGTCGCTGCAGCAGCTGTGGTGCAGGTGGGCAATCAGCTGGAGTTGGCGCCTCTGTGACGAAGGACGCGGGCTCCTTCCTCCCTGCCCAAGGCGTAGATGTTTGCTGGGCCTCCATATGCGATTCTTTTGAAGCAGCTTTCGTGTTTTTGTCTGTATTCAGTTCTTGCTTTCGTTTCGTTTGATGTAGGGACTTGCATTTGCCGGGGCGGAGTCAGGCTGTACGGTTAAGGGCTTCGCGATCAGGAACTAGGGTTTAGGGTTTAGAGTCTAGAGTGTAGGGTTTAGGGTTTAGGCTTGGGGATCAGGAATTCGGCGCCGTTCTCCATACTCAAGGCTGTAGCTTACTGGCGCAAGCTCCCTTCTAGGGCAGTTACTGCGGTGGTGTTGAGCTGAGTAAAGCAACAGCAACGACGACGAAAACAACAGGGACGACAAGGACAGTAGCTGGAATAACTACAACAACAGCACATAAAACAACACTGTTTCGGGCTGAACCGATGTTCGTTGTAATAACAACAAGAAAGCTGCAGCCAGCTGGCGCGGAGCACTCCAACGCAGAGGGCTACCTAAGGCCCCGTCGGCCTACAGCGATGCTCCATGGAGCCTGAGAAGGTGATTCATACAGGAATTTGGTCTGTATAGCCAGAGTCAGAGCTGAAAAGGGGCAGCTGGGTTGCATAAGCTGCTGGGGAAGGCCGCAAAGGGATGCAAAGGATTGTCTTAAAGAGACAGGAAACGAAATCCGGCGGTAGCGGTCGCCGTTCGTGTATCCTCTGCTGAGTCTGTCCGGTTGGTTAGAGAATAATTTGAAATTTATAAAGGAGAATATCTATCTAATTTATCAATAAGGACAGTGAAACAAAAATCCCATAACACAAGACGACCAGGGAGACGCTGCTGTCTCGCTAACAACTCATGGTCCTTATTTGGTTTCCCGTGACAGGCGGGAGAAACAACATATTCTTCTTAGAGCTTAATTCTGAAATAAAATCTGCAAAAATAAATAAAAGGGTGACCGAGAACGGGGCTGAGGGAGCCTGTCCTTCTTGACCAGACCACGCAGCCGTTCACGGGGTCACTCCGAAAGGAAACACGACAACAGTTCAACAGTTCCTTTGAAATAGATATGCCATTATTTTGGTAAAGATAAAATGGCTAATAATAATGACAATTATCTCAATAATTTTCTGAAACGACCAAAGGTAACGCCGCGCATCCATTGTTCAACTTGCAGCACTCGCCCAGGAGATTACCGGGGCAGGAGGCAACACCGAGATATTTCGTCAAACTGCCAAACTGAATAACAGCAGGAGACAAAAAAACCCGAAATGATTGGGTTTAATACCGGGAAAAAAACCCCAAAACGCGAAAACCCACAGGCAAGCTAATGCACGCAAAACAAAAACCTGCAAATGCGAAACGAGAACGGCTGCAGGACGGATGCTAAACGACGACAAAGCAGGACAACAACACAAACAGAAAAGTGAAATCGTAGTTGTAATGGAAGGCAACTACAACGGATCTAAGCGGCAAGTGGATAGTTGAACGAAACTCGTCGATCTTAATGGAGGACTGTCGTGAGCTGCAGTTGAGTCACAGTACATGAGATCACCCAAATCAGGTAATTTTTGGCGGAGTTCTCCTCACTAGTCCCAAACGTTTCTGGGTACAGGGGTAGAAGGGCCTGGAGCTGGTGGCTTTCCGCAAGCAAGCAAACCCAACCACGATGCTGATGCATGAACTAACGCGCCCTATAGACAGCAGTCGAACGCTTACTCAACCTGAACACGAGCAGAAATGCATGTACTAAGCTCAGCCAGGCCATGCGACATATGCCTTGTCTCTCTTTCTCCTGTGCGCCTGCAGCCCAACAACGGATGGGTCCACAGGGGTCAGAAGGAAGGCGCGTGAGGGACCAAACATCCAAACACAAAAGCCCAAAGCTAAAATGGCTAGGGAATGTGCCTAGCTTGCTTATGTTTGTTGTTGCTTATAATGCGAGTCTTCAGTCGTATCCGATGACAGTTGTGCGCTGCAACGCAGCAAACAGCGGCTAACGCCCGCAAGGCATCCGGGGGGCAGCGGCCCAAGGGCCTATAGACGCGAGAGCACGAACAGCCAAACCCTATTGCTACATGTATTAGTACTATACACGATTTGTGAGCACTGTCTTGGCCGTCACTGCCAGCGTGCACCCAAGTACGAATACTCAGGCAAACTTCCTACAGATAATGCTACATCTGACTCCCGAGTAGACGGTAGCTGTTTCGGCTGTTGCCGCTGGCGACCGGGCTGCCGCTGTTGCTATTGCTATTCCTGTTGCTACCGCAGGAATTGGAAATGTCCGGCATACTGCGCGCCGGGACGCCAGCAAGGCCAGCTGCCGTTGCTGCCGCCGCCGCTGCTATTGCTGCTTTGGCAGCAAGTAGGGGCGAACGGAATGAGACAGCCCGAAGAACGGTATGGTTGCTGCTAGTGAGTCCACGGGCCTTCTCCGCCGACTGATATATGTGCGTATTCTCTGAGAAGTCCCGGGACAACTCAACAGTTGCCGTGGGACTACTCAGCAAGCCTCAAATTGTAGGGCTCAGCCTCAAACAAGGAAAAGAGGGCCTGCAAATATTCCTGGGAGATTGACTTGCGGTATTGTTCCTCAGAAACCCACTGTGTCTGTCTGTCCCTTGGCCTTTTCCCACAGCGTTCTCGTTTTTTTTTCTCTAAAGTTGTAATACTTGCGTTTTATTCGTTATAGTTAGGACATTACTGCTGTTTTGTGCGGAAAGCGCGAGAGAATGTTGGTGGATCTCTAGACGGTTTTAGACAACGGACATTCAGAGTACGGTAGCATCTCCACGTTTGATGGAGGTCAATGATGTAGTCCAGCGCATTTACTCGAAAACGAATAGTAAATGCACCTACTCAACGGCGGAACTTTTTCGCTGCTACATTCCCTGCGCGCTTCAGATACTTTCGCTTCCTCTAGCTGTTGGTAAACCTAGTATGAAATCTATTGCAATATCCGCCCAGGTTAGTTCAGGGATCAAAAGGCACTGCAAGAGGCCTGGTTCGGCATTTGGGTTACATTGGTGCTTGCATTCAGGACAAGTGAGTTCATATTCCTCGTCTAACGGGCTCACCCTAGACCACCAAAAGGCCCCAGCAACTCGCTCCTCTAGAGTGTTGACTCCAGCGTGACCTGTTAAAGCGTGATCGTGCACTTTGAACCACACTCATCTGCGAAGCGAGGCTGGAACGTATAATCTACGGATTCGACGCATCCCCTGATAGATCACTGGATGCGTCGCAGCTGCCGAGCGTCGGTCTCCCGTCCCTGGGATGCCGGCCAGTCTATCTACTCTCTGCGCCCCTTCGTAGGTTGTTCCCGCTGGTCTGCGCTGTACAACGATCCACTCTAACGGACCGCCACGAATTAATTCATATACAGTGAACCTCTTCTAATCTTCGTATCCTATCTACATGATCCGTCTCACGAAGGAATCACATACATTGATCACATCGTAGCAGCCCACAACTACATGCAGTGCTACCAAGTATGGCGCGCTATCCGAGCAGACGTGCTAGGTGCAATGCAGTCAGCAATTTTAAGATAACAGTTTCCAGTAAGCAGCTGGGCTCCTGTCCCCTGTTCAAGCATCCTGGCACTGCCAACCCAGGGGCAGCGGGCCGGGGGTGAGGAGGCGGCCTAACGAGAGTTGCAGCGTACCTTACGTGAGCTCGCGCTGCAACGCGGCCTCAGATGCATGTGCAACCATGCTCTATTGCTGCATGCACTAACACTAAAACGTTTGATGAGTACTTACTCGGCCCCAGTTGCCGGCCCGCACGCAAGTAGGAAAACACCGACCAACTTTACACGAACGACGCTACAACTAAGCCCTATTCCTGCGTGCCTTAGCATTAAAGACGATAGTTGAGAACTTGCTTGGCCCTCAGTGCCAGCTTGCACGCAATTAGGAATACGCAGACCAACTCCGCACAGGTAATGCTACAGTGATCACACACTGCGGTGGGGGCTTGCAGCTTCGTAACTGGCCCCCGTAGAAATTCTACGCGCAGTGCATTCCTAAAGCGCCAGTCTAAAGAAAGGAACAGATGCAGATACTTTAAAATAGTGAATAATGGAAGTGCAAAAGGTATGGATTAGTTGTTGATTTGGCCGATTTGAATCAAGAGGCCAACTAGAGGCGGCGCACTGTGGAGGCTCTGCCTGCCATGTGGAAAGGCAAGAAACAAGTCCTTCGCATATTGAATTCAACACAAGAAGGGTGCTGATTATATATAAGTTTCATTTTACTAGTGTTGCTAGCAGGACGAGTCTAACTTTAGACACGCACTGCTACGCTCTTCCATTTGGAGGCGCAGGGGAGGGCGCCGCACGGAGCGTTGCCATCCACCGCCACAGGACCCACGACCTGCTCAATAGCCTGCTTTCTTTTGGCCTGCGCGTTCATGCACTAATCTGGCAAGTAGTTCAAAAAATATTCCAACGTGAATTCAGTTTTTCGGTGAAGTCGCATTCATGCGGCGTCAGAACACTCTGTGACAGCGCCGCACTTCAGCGTTATACGTAGGGTGTACATCCAGCACGGAGCATTCGCCTCCCCCTGAAGCTCACATTTTTATCACTTTGTTCCTGATCGATCGCCTACGTCCACAAAATCCTCTCCGCCACGATATTTTCCACTTGTACTCTCGTGGCCTACTCCCATTCGCAAAACTCTACTTGCCGGTGCAACAATGCAGATCTTTGTCAAGACGCTCACGGGCAAGACCATCACTCTGGATGTTGAGCCATCAGATACTATAGAGAACGTGAAAGCAAAGATTCAGGACAAGGAGGGTATCCCTCCTGACCAGCAGCGTCTCATTTTCGCCGGCAAGCAGCTGGAAGATGGCAGGACACTGTCCGACTACAACATTCAGAAAGAATCTACCCTTCATCTGGTACTCCGCCTGAGAGGTGGCATGCAAATCTTTGTGAAGACTCTGACTGGCAAGACCATCACTCTGGATGTTGAGCCATCAGATACCATCGAAAACGTGAAAGCAAAGATTCAGGACAAGGAAGGTATTCCTCCTGATCAGCAGCGTCTCATTTTCGCTGGAAAACAGCTAGAAGATGGTAGAACGCTGTCCGACTACAATATTCAGAAAGAATCTACCCTTCATTTAGTTCTTCGCCTGAGAGGTGGCATGCAAATCTTCGTGAAGACTCTGACTGGCAAGACGATCACCTTGGATGTTGAGCCATCAGATACCATTGAAAACGTGAAAGCAAAGATTCAGGACAAGGAAGGTATTCCTCCTGATCAGCAGCGTCTCATTTTCGCCGGAAAGCAGCTCG